CCCCCCCCCCCCCCCCCCCCCCCCGGGCCGCTCACCCGGCCGGGAAGTCCCCGCCGCCGCCGCCAGCCCGGCCGCCGCCGCCAGCCCGGCCGCCGCCGCCGCCAGCCCGGCCGCCAGCCCCTCGGGCCTCGCCCCTCGCAGGGCCGCCGCCTCCCACAGCAGAGGTACCACAGCTACCACCGCCGGGCCACGGGACCCGGAACCACTTCCTTCCGGAACCGCCTCGCCCCGCCCCCGCTCTGGCCCCGCCTGCGTCCGCGGCCTCGCGCTGGCCGGCTCTCCCACCGACCCGTGCTCTCTCTACTCCTTCGCAGCGAGGGTGCCCCGCCTGGACAGCTCCGGTCAGAGCGCCTGCGCCCTCTGCCGGCCATTCCCACCTGTGCCGCTCTGTCCGGGGCGCATGCGCTGTCTGCTGCCAGTCCGCCGGGGAAGGAGCTATGCACGAGGCGTTCACCGTCCTGCGATCCTGGGATCCCGGAATCCCGGGATCCTGGGATCCTGGGATCCTGGATGCTGGAGCTCATCCTTCAGCTAGGGGCAGGAGTTTAGTCCTAGGGGTCATCCAGCGTTGTACACAGGAGGCAAAGGTGGCGAAGCAGATGAGACTCGGCTTTCCAGCTCCTGGCTTGGCCCTCAAGGTCCCTCCAGAGCCAGCCCACCTGAACCTGCACCTGCCATTCCTATGGCCTCAAATTAAGTTTCTACTCAGAAAACGAAACCTCCGCTCTGCACCTCCCAAATAGGCCAACAGTACCAACATCTTCCCACCATCCAATTCAAAATACTGACTCAGTTTTGTCTGCTTTCTTGATTTCTCTCCTCCCTGCACTCCAAGCACCAGCCACACAGGTAGTATGTCCTCACTCTTGGAGCTTTCTCACTTGACATTTTGATATAGTTTTTCCTCCTTGCAAGACTTCTCTTTCAGAGCCCACCACATTTAGTAGTATCACCTTTACCCTCCCTTATTGCCAGCTGATTGCATTAGAATTTTCCTCTCCATCTGGGTTGAATTACAGCCATCATCCCAATGAGTCCAACACCAATGATTGAGCCATTTTTCCTTAACTTCCTCAATCCAGATGACTTTACCTCTACTCTACTTTATCCACCCATTCCCAGGCACTTATTCTAGCAGATCTAGACATTCATCACTTTATACCGCTCCATCTCTAAAACCTTAAGTTTCAAAATCCTGTTTATTTGTACTCATAATCCTCATCCTTGAAGTCCTGTCTCTCTCTTATTCTCAATGTACTTGATCTTCAAAGACCAGAGAGCTCTCACATCCCCGAACCTTCTACCTGACTTAAGTACATGGCCTTTGACTTCAACAACTCTTGTAAGCAGAGCCCCTGGAATGGCCCTTTGACACATGGTAACATCAAACCACCACCTTTAAACGCTCCAGTTATCTGCATTTTCCATTCCTACATCTGTGTTTTCAAGTACCGCTTCAGAAGAAAAAGTCACACAACACAGAATGATGTCACTACAAATTTTTGGATACCCACTAGAACCTTGGTGTCTCTTTTATGTGACCTCTCTCATTTCCAGTAATTGCTGTTATTAACCCTTTCTACTCTCTTTAAGTCCCATAGCAATGATCATTTTCCTCTCTTCATACATGATATTGCTTCCTGCTTCACAGAGAAAAGTTCTCAGCATAGTACGTAAGACCTTTCTTTCTTTTCTTCCTTTCGACAATCAAAAAAAAAAAATGTTAAATCAACTTAAGACAGACTGGTAAGGATGGAGAATAGAAGAGGTGGCAGCTGGAGCCAGGACTGGCCCTAGCAGTTGTAGCTGGGACATTCGTGGGCAGCCAGGTGCCAGGCTCAAAGGCCTGCACCACAGCCAGCTTCAGGGGCCCTTCTTCAGTCAGGCCATATTCCGTGTCAGCTGCTCCACGCTGGACATACCGAGGCTGACTGCTTCCCCATGGGCACCCTGCAGCTGGGAGTGGTGGTACATCCACTGGAACGTGGCCGAGGTCATGCTGGGGGCGCTGCCACCGTTCACAGCCTGCAGGACCTTCTCCACCAGGGCAATGGCCTTGAAGTGGTGCTCCTTTCAGAGGTGATTCCTGTAGCTCTCAGCCCAGTTATTCCCGAAGAAGCAGCCCACGGGTTGTTTCCCGTCCTTGTCCTTGCAGGTCAGCAAGCCCCCTGCGGACGACTGATCAGAGCCACGGGCCCACACTGCTCCCAGAGGCTGTTCTGGACTGGCAGGGGTGGGTGGGGGGGATTATCTGATTCCTACTTCATCTCTCTAGCCCTCTACCTCTTTGTACTCAGTGTTCTGGCCATACTGAAGTGTTTGCCATTTAAGACAAATACTGCTTTTGCTTCTACTTCATTGAACATATTGTCCCATCTGTCTGGTTAAGAGGTGTGAGACCTTTTTAAATGCATATTAATGACTCAGTCCAGGAAGGTTTTCTTCTATTCTACCTTCAAGAATTGTTTCTGCTTTATCCAGTCATCTATTGAAGGGCATCTTGGCTCTTTCCACAGTTTGGCTATTGTGGACATTGCTGCTATGAATATTGGGGTGCAGATGAGCCTTTTTTTCCCACTACTTCTGTATCTTTGGTATAAAGACCCAGTAGTGCAATTGCTGGTCCATAGAGTAGCTCTATTTTTAACTTTCTGAGGAACCTCCACACTGTTTTCCCAAGTGGCTGCACCAGTTTGCATTCCCAACAGTGTAAGAGGGCTCCCCTTTCTCCACAACCTCTCCAACATTTGCTGTTTCTTGCTTTGTCAACTGTTGCCATTCTAACTGGTGTAAGGTGGTATCTCATTGTGGTTTTTAATTTCCCTGATGGCTAATGATGATGAACATTTTTTCATGTGTCTGTTAGCCATTTGTATGTCTTCTTTGGAGAAGTGTCTGTTCATGTCTTCTGCCCATTTTTGACTTATTTGTTTTTTGCATGTTGAGTTTGAGAAGTTCTTTTTTTTTTTTTTAAAGATTTTATTTATTTATTTATTTGAGAGAGAATGAGTGAGAGAGAGCATGAGAGAGGAGAAGGTCAGAGGGAGAAGCGGACTCCCCAAGGAGCTGGGAGCCCAATGCGGGACTCGATCCTAGAAGTCCGGGATCATGACCTGAGCCGAAGGCAGTCACCCAACCAACTGAGCCATGCAGGTGCCCGAGTTTGAGAAGTTCTTTACAGATCTTGGATATCAGCCCTTTGTCTGTAGTGTCATTTGCAAATATCTTCTCCCATTCCCTTGGTTGCCTCTTTGTTTTGTTGACTGTTTCCTTTGCTGTGCAGAAGCTTTTTATCTTGATGAAGTCCCAAAAGTTCATTTTCATTTTTGTTTCCCTTGCCTTTGGAGATGTGTCTTGAAAGAAGTTGCTGTGGCTGATGTCGAAGAGGTTACTGCCTATGTTCTTCTCTAGTTTTGATGGATAAAGAAGATGTGGTCCATACATACAATGGAATATTACTGAGCCATCAGAAAGAATGAATACCCACCATTTGCATCGATATGGGTGGGACTGGAGGAGATTATGTTAAGTGAAATAAGTCAAGCAGAGAAAGACAATTATCATATGGTTTCATTCATATGTGGAACATAAAGAATAGCATGAAGGACATTAAGGGGAAGGAAGGGAAAACTGAAGGTGGGGAATCAGAGGAGGAGACGATCCATAACAGACTATGGACTCCGGGAAACAAACTAAGGGTTTCAGAGGGGAGGGGCATGGGGGGGATGGGTTAGCCTGGTGATGGGTATTAAGGGCGTGTTGCAATGAGCACTGGGTGTTATACACAAATAATGAATCATAGAACACTACATCAAAAACTAACAATGTACTGTATGCTAATTAACATAACATAATTTTAAAAATAAATAATAAAAAAAAGAATTGTTTCTGCTCCATTTGTTCTGGTCTCTTTTAGGGAGAGCAATTATCTGTGGCCATTCTCTGTTTTATCATTTTTTTCACTTTATCCTTTTCTGACATTGACATTTGGTACAACTCAAATTTGCTTTCAGTATTATTGATAGGGTTTCCCAAAGCATTATTTCTGCTTCTGTTTTTACTTAAATGCTATTAACTGAGATTTTAGCATCCTTGCTTCATTCCTCCCCCACCCCCCACCTTTCAAATCGTCCTATTGACTTTGCATCTCATCTTACCTTCTTACAAAAGGATGTTAAACTGGTGATAACATTTTCCTTTTGGATTCCATAGTCAATCATTTTCATGAATATGCTCTTCTCTCCCTTTCGTGATTAGTTTTTGTGTACTTTACTATATACAGACAAAAAGATACAGATAAAGATATATTCTTTGAATCATCTTTGAACAAGGTGATCTTTATTCAGACATATTGGTTAGGCCCTCCCACTATTTGCTGTTCACTTGTGTGGACAGAGAGGTTAAGTAGTTTGCACAAGGTCACATAGCTCTTGCTGTGTCTATGAATAACACATATGCACACATACACAAAACAAGCCTAACAGAAATAGGTTATTATCTGCCTTTCCGTTTATTTTTTCTTTGCAAAGCCAAATCTGCTATTGAATGCTGGGTATGCTTAATACAAGAATTCTGCGTTAGTAAGAATAAATTACGCTACAGTAACAGTCTCAAAATCTGATTGGCTTATAACAACAAACGTTCATTTCTTGCTTACATTTCAAGTCCATCGGAGGTCAGCTCTGGTTCTTCTGTCCAGGACGCAGGCTGAAGGAATAGACCCTCTCTGAGACATTACTGGTGTCAGATCAGAAGAAAAGGAGCAAGAGTG